GACATAATTAAACCATGTCGCGTTGATAAGCATACTTACTTAGCAGAGCATTATGCCGTCTAGAGAGTCTGCTTCCACTTAAAACTGTAAGCCAACAGTTACAAGTGAGCTTGATTCATCTCCTCTGCTACCCAGAATTGAAAGGAATTCCGATAAAAACATTGTTAACCTTCGTATCAAATGCAATTTATATAAATGCAGTCAAGGAAAGACGTTTAACTTGAAATTTTTCTCTTTAAAGCACGACCTGAAATGGCGTAGCATTGCATGATTTGCGTTGGAGGAAGGCCTGCACTGAAAATGGCAAGTCATAAGGACTGGTGAGTCTGTTTATTTGAGGTGATGTCCAGTTCGGCTCAACGATGGTACCCTATAAAAAGTGGCTGTCACTCTGGAACTGAACTGAAACAACCAAATTCTCCCGGCATGCAATGTTCAGCTGCATATGTGTCATATATACAATATACTGGCCCGTCCTAACATTTGCACTTTGAAGTGACTTTTTTTTAATTTTTAATCCCTCAGAAGTCAGAGATGAAGACATGGTGGTGGTCGGAGACAGTCGGTTCCAGGTTGCCGCGGCACGGTAAGGGCTCGGTTAGATGCCTCCAATCGGCAAATGAGCAGGTGGAGACTTTGACATGGAGGAGCGAGTCTCCCTTGAGAAACAAAGAAAAAAGACAGGAACGTGGTATGAAATAGATTGTACAGACCAAAAACGATTATTCGCATCGTAGGGCTTTGAACATCTTCAGCACCTCCCTCCCTATCTCGAAGTTAGTGAAAGGGAGGGACGCCAGATCTGGGGCCCGCCAGATTTCAGAGTCGTTGTTACCGTCTGCGTTTCATTCCACACAATCCTCGTGGCAACATTTCTAACTTTTTGAATTCCTCTGCGCGTGACACTTAATGGCACCTCCGACAAAGATACAGTTTGCATTCCTTTTCTACGGACAATTAGACCAGTTGACGAAATGATTTTCTTCTCAGGCTTGTCAGGCGAGGACATGTCTTTATCGAATCAAGCTGCACAGAACAGATGCAAAGCATGTCCAGCCCCGACCGTCGACGCCGAGCATCAGACATCCTCGAATCTGGGCGTCCACGCGTGACAGCCGTCTCCTATTCAGACATGACCGCAACCGGACCGTTACCACCGGGTTTCGACGTCGGCACGAGCTCCGGGGTGACTGATCTGCATACTGTTGCGGCCCACGACCAGGTCAGGCGAGGCACCAAGACGAAGCAGCCGTCCGTCAGCCCGCCTGACCGTCTCCAGCATTCCGCCTCGGATCCGAACGCAGGCTCGCGCTCCACGGTGGCTTGGAACGCGGCTAGGGAGCACGCGGATGCGATTTCTTGAAAACGCTGACTCGCTCGAGTTTGCGATAACTCCCAATGCAGCCCCGGAGGTGCGAGCACGGCAGGTATATGAACTTTCTCAGAGAACAACTGCCGAACCCAACAGCACAGCTGCTCTATTGGACCAAGCGGAACATATGAGATGCTCGGCCAAGACCCGGGTTCTTACATACCTTCCCACTCTGTCTAACCACGCTAGTCCTGGAAAGAAAATCGACTTGGTCCTGCACACACCGGGGACCGGCGCAGCCTCGTAGGGCACGGATGTCGAACACGGCAAACACTGGCTAGCAACGTGGGCAAAGATGAGGTCAACGCGCGCATCAAGCTGTTCGACTAGAGACAACAAAGAATGCATGGTGAATCTATGCATGTTCTCCTGGTTCCGTCCGCCTAATTCAATCCTGGGAATCTCATGCGCTTATCGGAATAGGTTTCCTTTCCCCTTGTTTCCGTGGCTTCCGCATCTCATTGGGAACTGCGGTATTGTCTTTTAACCCTCCGCAGATAAGTAACTCGAACAGCCCGGTGAGTGGATAAGGCTGCGTGAATTTCGGACGCGTCAACTGTGATACCCAGGTGACGCAAACCAACGTGGTTGAAACGTAGTGTTCCTCCCTTGGGGCAATTTCAAGCGCGTATTCTAAGTGAAACCTCCGGACCTGTTACGTCTAACAAAAGCTTTGGGTAATGCTACTGCGGCACTGTCAGTGCAAATAAAGGAAATCAACTTTGATTATTTTCGTGTATAATTTACGCTGTCAACGCTTCAAAGCAGGAGCTATGCCTCTTCTCTGCAGTCGCGACATCCGTCGTCATGACAACCGCCATGCAAGAGGGTAATAGATAACGGGTAGAGTAAAGTGCAGTATAACAACTGCAGCATGACATTGGAGTTACATCAAATTTGTGATGTAGGGTAATGGCTCAAGTTTATATTAAATATTTGGCAGCGGGTGACTGGAGGTGGCATGGCACACACGCCACAATAGTGAATATGTTTAAACTTTGAGTTAATGCTGCGCCGATACTTTTTGGTAGGAACTCTGAAGGAATTGTACACTATACTGCATTGACAGTGCATTGGTTGATAGCAAACATCGCATGTTACATAGCGAACAGGTAGAAAAGTGCTGGAACCACTGCTTCGAACACACAAAAAAATATGGCGTACCGTGCAAGAGGCCACCTCCTCTCACTTTGACCCGGTAGGCCGTGGGAGGTCGGTTTCTCTAGAAACAAAAGTTCGGTGGATTGGCTCAAGGCAAGTGAACAATCCTTCGTTTGGTACCAGGCTCGTCAAAATTGGCCTGATGGAATTGGATTCACAGCTCTGAAAAGTAAGCCTTTAACACGTGAACCCCACGGACTAGAAGGAAAAGCCTGTCGTGGAATGGTTGTGCTACCAACGTGCTTCGGTGAGGGCTCGCCGTGCGCACCCCTACCGGTGCGAATAAAAGAACGTTTGTGATTGGCCCAGCGGGGGCAGCCGACCTTGAAGCACCTTCAAAATTGGGGGACAGAAGTCTGAAGACGAAAAAGAAAACTCGGTGCTACTATCAATGTGTACCAGGGTGAAAAAATTCGTGCCAAGGTGTTACCTTCTAAACGGTGGTCTCTTGTGGCAAAAAAGTGGAAAAGTCCATACATACGGAATAGACAACGATGATCTGTTGAACAACTTGACTTTGTAATGTGGCCGCTGTCAGTTCGCCTTGTCGGAGGACGTTTGTTTACGGTTGCCTTTGTCCAGCTGGCGTTCCTCGGGCAACCATTTTGGAAATAAGAGGCCTCCCGTTAATGTTATCAATGCAAGGAACTTATAACGATGATAACTTTATATATATATATATATATATATATATATATATATATATATATACAGCATCAAGTGGCGACTGTTGTACGAAATGAGTTCGAAATTCTAACAGCTGTCGGTTGACCTTGACGGCTGACGTTTTGTTTACATTTGCACCACGGTTGCTCGTTGGCATCTCTGGAATGGAGAAACCAACAGATGGCCCAGGTCTGTGCTACGTGTTATTCCACGTTACCACACTTCCCGACATGACATTTCATGGTGTCTCTAGGGTTTGCTTTTCTCATTCAACAGTCACTCGGGTGAGGGTGTGTGAGGTCAATTTCACCCTCCTAATGTTACTACAAAATAATTTTTGAACAGCGCGACTACGCTGAGTCAAACTTTGCATAGATGTCGGCCATCGTATGGCGACTTTTTTGTATACAAATTAGACACACCTTGTAGGGGTCTGTGACCTATTACAGGCAGGGGTGTTTATTTCTTGAAAACTTTCGGGGTGGAACCCAGGGCCGATTCAGCCGCCAAGTTTAGGTAAAAATTAGTGCTCAATTTGTTTAGCCCCTCTGTTTGGATTCAGTCCAGAATTTCTAAAAAGTCCGAGGATATCCGTCCCATAATTTGGGTTTAAGTTCTCTCTGTTTTATAACATGAATTTTTATTGAGTCAGGAACTGGTAATGAGTAGGATTCACTCCACTTTTGAGTAAAATATTCAACCATTTTGGGGAACGAACACGCTTACGCTTCCTGTCGCGTTGTGGGGAGGCCATTGCCATTATACCCCCCCCCCCCTCAGTTCTCTGAAACAGCCAAAGGAAAGAGAAAGATCGAAGGGCACCACATAACAATGAGGCTCTTCGGATTTCGGCCTATGTATTTTCAGCCAAAAATAGCACAACCTTTAAATCAGAGTAAAAAGAAAGATACAGTTTCTTCTCATCAGTTGAGGGAGGGGTGACCATCGCACTCTCGCGTAATTTAGACGTAGCCTCGCTGGAGCCGTTATGAGCGTTGGTGCAGCACTGTTCAGAAGCTATGGCGGCGGCGGCTTAACACTAGACGGCAGCGGCGGTGGTAGTGGCGGCAGCATAACGCTGGACGACAGCGGCGGCAGCCGAACGCTGGATGGCGGCGGTGGACACTCGCAAACATGACGGTCTACCAGCGACTGAAAGTGTTGCATCGCTGAGTTGGCACCGAGCCAAAGTTCTTCGGTTCCACCCGCAGATCAAGGGCATCGACGTCTGGGTATGTTGTCAGGACAACGGCGTGATTTAGCCACTCTTAGCCCAGTGGAGCGCAGCCTTCCCCTCAGACGACGAAGAAGGCTGAACTCCCCCTCTGCCGTGGACGATGTTGCTGGAGCGATCAGGAACAAACGCAGCAGCGAGACAGCGGCTGGCAGCACCTGCCGCAGGCCCTCATCGCGCAATGGTGCCACCATGTCGTCGAGTGAGGCCAGTGGCGTCTTTCTCCGGCTTGACGCCACATACACTAACATTTGGCAAGGGAGGCTGAGTCGCTCTAGGTCGAGGCCGTGATAAGTGGCGGCTGAGACCAGAGCGTCCTCTTCCTACGTGAGGAGCGTCCTCTCGGTCGTGGTTAAGATGGGCTCATGAGAGCCAAAACGGCCGCTGATGGAGCCAGCCAACCAGTCGACCGCTTCGCAGTACACCTAGCGGTAGCGGTCTTTAGGACAGGCATGCTGGTGCGACTCGGCGTCCTCGTCCAGTCGCCGAGGTGGTCGCATCGGATGTCGCAGCCCGGGACAGCGCGCTCCTCGACGCTTCTCGTCTGACATCACCTCCATCCAAAAGCGCGCTCGAAGCAGTTGTGCCGGTACAGGACGACTTCTCTGACAGCGCGTACGCCCTCAAGATGACAGACAGCGACTGCGTCTGTCCCTACATGGTGCGCATCATGGCGGGTGTGGTGAAACGGCAGAGCAGGCGCAAGCCGAATAGAAACTTGTGTTCCCCAGGGCTCTTTCAAACCTATTAATAGTGGCTGCCACTTCCGGACGTATCTTTGGATCGTCCGCGAGCACTTCCGGACCGATCACCAGGGCGCATACTCCTTATCCACGGAGGCCAGCAGCGCCTAGCTGAACGTCCATCGAGTAGGGCACAGCGGACGCAAAGACGCCAGTTGGTGTCAGGCGCTGCCATTGTGAGCTCGAAAGCGCTCCAGCGCCCGCTTCCACGCGCAACATCCTCGAGCTGGGAATTCAGCGTCATGCTTTGAGGCAATCCTTAGAAGCCCCGATTCTCGACTGCGACGCGTCTCTGGCAGAGGACGCCGTCCAAAAGTGAGATGTCCTCCAGCCAAGGGTAATGGCGCCGCCACTCGGTTCGGAGCGTGCGCTAGTGTCGTGACTGGGGGACGGGTCGTCGCCAAACGTCTCGGGGATGTCAGCAGGGGCTCTTGTGACCTAGGATCTCACACCTCGGTTCGATCAGTAGCAGGATTTGATGGATCGGATGGATTTATGGAAGAAATACAATGTTTCGATTCCAACCAGCGATGCACTGTGCATTTACTTTAAAATGGCTTACCTCCATACATGCATCTAACAGTGACCTTGACTGTGCGATACAAGAATACATAAACCAAGATAGGTTTATGGATTTTGATATTGCACAGACGGCGTACTTCCCGAGGGTTTTGCACAACAATGGGCTTATTTTTTCCGGGCATGCGAGTATGTTCACAAAACAGGGCGCCAGGTCACGCAACAGCGACCAACCAACCCACACGCTCGAATCACACGAAATAGCATCTGCTGTTCGCTCCGAGACCGAGGGGAGGCCGCGAAGGTCACCGCCCAATCCAGAACACATGTTTACAGTTCATCCCAGGCCATCGCTCCAATTCGTTTCAATGGTGTCATTTAATTCGATCAAATTGCCTTCCCTCTTCAGACCTATCTGTCCATTCACAACGAGTCGAGCCCAATCCGTTTGGTGCCAGAGTTGAGCCAGGCTTTTAGTCAAAGATAGAGAAGTGGGCGCAGCAGGCTAAAAAGTGGACGAACGTGGTACCGTTCGAGACCAAAATCATGGATGGTGTTTGAACGGAGCGGTCCAAAGCCTAGTATAAAGTATGTCACCAATTGCGCATGTTTCACGACTAAACAAAATAGTCACATGTTAAAATGTCCTTTTGCAGGTCCACGGCTTTCGAAATCTGGAGCATTTATATACATATATGCTCATATTTTTGCATATATGCTATATACATATACATATATATGCATGAAAATTGCATAGAAATGCAGGTTGAACAATGCTCTTTCCATTTCCGGAATTAAAAGTGTGCGCCGTGGCACGCCTTTTTGAGCTATTACGTAAAGCGTACACTTTCACGTGCCGCGATGTCAAGGCGTAGGATCGAATCCCGCTGCCGCCAACTGGCAGTTTGTGTATATATATATATATATATATATATGTATATATATATATATATATATGTGTGTGTGTGTGTGTGTGTGTGTGTGTGTGTGTGTGTGTGTGTGTGTGTGTGTGTGTGTGTGTGTGTGTGTGTGTGTGTGTGTGTGTGTGTGTGTGTGTGTGTGTGTGTGTGTGTGTGTGTGTGTGTGTGTGTGTGTGTGTGTGTGTGTGTGTGTGTGTGTGTGTGTGTGTGTGTGTGTGTGTGTGTGTATGTGTTAACCATGCATAGCCTGACGATGCATCCGTTGTGCTGTGAAGCGTGTTGCGAGTTACTACAGGAAATGCACGTTATATGTTTTGACATCTATAAAATATACCTGCCAGGTGTTATGCAGCTGCCGCGCTACAGGCAGCAGCCTGTGGTACAAGATGCATAGCTTTAATGTGCCTATGGAACTCATCGCGACGGTAGCCGTCCAAATCTGGCCGTCCCAGCGCGGTCAGAGACAGAACAAGGCACCGTGCTAGGTGCTTAAGTTGTGATGCTGGCGGCGACTCCTGTGTAGGGCCGGCAGCGCCGCCTCAGGGACAGCACAGCAGCGATATTACTTGTAGCTGCCGTCCATTGCCCCCCTCCTCCCGCATGTCCGGTCGGCGGCGCCGTCTCAAACACCATGGGACAGTGTGCATTCAGTAACCGATGGTTTCTCCTGAAGAGACGTCCGCAAGGTATTTCAACGGAGTAGGGCCGGACGAAAATAGCTCGCCTCCGTGACGCCGGTTCTAACCTCTTTTTCCAACGTCGAGGTCCTGGTCGTCATGCAGCGTACCGGTTGAAAGTTGGGACGTTGGACGTGCTGGCCTGTCATGGCGCTGTCGCACCGTCTCATGCATCGACTCGACTCACGCGCCGCACACTTCTGCATAAAGCCGTCATTCCGCAACTAATGCAAGGCGCTAAGTCCGCCAGGGTGTCCGAACAGGAAATACGCCGGCTGTGTCATTCGTTCACGAGCAGACTGCGTGTCGCAACCACAGGCGATGATCTTGAACTCTGCAGAATCTCTCTTGCCTTCTGCTCCCCGTGGATAGTTGCCACCACGGACGCCTGTCTTGGAGGCCTTGAAAATAGGGACGTAGCCGATGCTACAGTCACAATTCCCACTGCCAAACTGTACTTCAAGCGTTTGGCGACTGGAAAAGGCGATTACACTTAATGGGAGTGTGTCCCGTCAGGTTGGGATTTTTAACCGTGCACGTGGGACGGTAGGGAGTTTCGATAAAAAATTTGGTGCCGTTGGTTTCTACCAATTCACCTCCCGTGACGAGATATTGCCACAGCCGCCAAATTATCTTTGGTATGTGTGGCAGAATAAAGTTATCGGGTGGCCCCAAGCAATATTCACTACCAAACACATCGATATCATTGGAACGGTATCGCTAGCTCTAGCCAATGGTTTTGCGAGGATGTCTCTCGTCAGCACTGACAGAAGCTTGCAAACGCAGCGATGGTGGTGGCAATTATGTTGATGATTTTTTGTTTACATTCAGTTGAGGGCTGCGGGCGCGCGAGATTGGCCATATGGTAATGTTCGTCTGTTGATACGCACCACGATTAATTTATGTTGACCTACTTCGTACTGAGATGGAGCACAAGTATTTTGTCGTGTCAATCGGCTGTACTAGGTTCTACGAAAATGTGACTGATCTACGTTGTTTTGGCAGCGGCTAAAGGCGGTTAAATTTCTATACCCTGAAATTAATGAGCGAATTCCGAGTGCAAATGCACCGAATTCAGCGTTCGAAATTGAGCCCCACTAAAATGGAGGAGCTTTTGCAAGCACACAGCCATTGCGCCTGTGCACAAATGCTGGATGCTCCATCCTTTAGAGGAAATGATTGTGCTCTGTTGTTTGTTTGTTTCACATCTGAAAAGGGAATGTTTCACATCTGGAAACATTAAAGCAAGCATCATATATGAAGAAACAAGCTCAGTCATAACTATTGGTATTTCTTTTTATAAAAGACTGCCTTGGACAATACAATTACTCCGCATAGTATGTTCCTCCATACGTCATTGATAACGTCATCGTACCTTTACCTAGTTGATTGAGAGTCAATAAGCACCCCTTATATCTGGGAAACGCTTGTAGATATGAATGATCCTACGATAGCATTTTTATTGACCTTGATCGCCGCATGGCGTATGAAATGACAGGGTTTAAATGATAAGAGGCCAACGATTTTTTAATTTATTCTGAAAATTTTTGATTGCATGAACTTCTGGGATTAGCACCCATGTTAAACTGCGCTTATTGCGCGAGATGTCACCCCACCACCTGGCCGTGAAATTCCGTGTCAGTGGCAGAACATCCCAGCAAAACCTTAACGGGTTGGAATGCTGAGCATGGTCCGTTCTGCCTTCTGTTGATACCTGACCTTTACCGCGGCAGATATCACCAGCCGCAATACGTCCCATTCAGGGCAAGTGGTAGGCACCGAAGCAACTTCAACGCACTACGCTATGGGTGGGTGAATTGGAAGATATGCTCTCTAGACAACACGCTGTTGGGCTAGGACTTGTTTGTTGGGTAGCATCAGTAAGCTGCCATTTTGCAATCGAAACGAGTCAGATGACCCTACCAATTCCTCGCGGTTCCACCGCCGCATTACTGCGTAGGATGGTGGAAAAGGTTGGTTGGAAGGTTGCACCCCGCTGCTCCACCCATTTCATATTTAAACAAAGCCGAAAATCTTTCAATAAATGCTACCGCGTTGGAGCACTTAACGGAGTATGTCGCGTCTCGCCTAAACCCACCAGCCAGCACAAATTGATCTAGCCCACCGGACAATTTGGGCTGTAGCCTTCCCCGAGTCTGCTTTCCGGGGACTGAACGTGCCGTGCAGAACTCTGACACGGCCGCACCGGGTCGGAGTGGCTTTATTTGGCTGGGTGTCAGCTGACCTTCATACACCAGAGGCCTTCACGGTAACACGCGCCCGGGTGGCCGGCCAGACACACTTGGCTCGGGTGGGGAGTCCATTTGACCCCCACCCGAGCTCTCGAGAACTAAGAAAGCTAGAGACACCAAATTTTCAGGGTGTGTTGACCTGTACGTGAACTCGCTTTGGTCAGGTTTTGAGATTCCTAGGTCATGACCTTCGGGTAAAATAAGGCCAAACAAAGTCAAATTCAGGTTGCTCTCCAAAAGGCCCCTAGAGCCTAAATAACTGTTTCTAAGCGAAAGGTAATTGCTTATATAAGTTCAGTGACCTTGTTCAACGTTTTTAAGGCATGGTGACTAAAATCATGCAAGACTGCTCTGAGTTAAATATGAAAAGTGCGGTTGAAGAAACGATAAAGATACCGCTAGGCAGTACGTTTCTAAAAACAAAATATTCACCCGTGCCATTTTAGGTTAATAACCTATTCTTACCTCTAATAGGTCCATGTAAGATGTATACTACGGTCCCCGCTATCAATCAATTCGAAATGAGCAAGGAAGCTATCCCATACAGCAAGCCCTAGAGTAATAAAACAGGTTGGTTTTGACATTGGTTTGACCTTCATAACTGACCTTAGGTCAACGTAATTTGCTCATTCAATACTTGTGATTCCTAAAAAAAGCATCTCAGAGATGTATGGCTTCGTCTAACACTTTGCTGCTGCATCAGATTGAAAAAAATCTCTAGACATTGCCTTCGCTGAAACCATGGCCTGACTTTGGCCTGCCATAGGTCAGTGACTTTACAAGGTACATCTATATTGCCTATGTCAAACGATCTGCTTTTCAATGGTCTACAGCCATGCAAAATTTGGCATGGCTACGCCGCGCCGTTTGGAAACCATTTTGGACATTTTTCGGGGGAATGAATTTGACCAGCAGACATCAAGGCAAGGACTGCCGTATAGCACCACCACCAGCCCCCCCCCCCCGCACGTGACCATACGCCCTGCCAAAAAATCAGCCCGTCATACACGATTCTGGTTCGTTGTGTGTATGTGTGTGTGCGTAACGCCAGTCGACCACATCATAAAAACAGTTCCTGTGCGGAAGACCAGCCTGCTGCACACAAAACCGGCAGTTCTTTTGCTCAACACTGTCCTGACACACAAGTGAAACAGATTCAGTAAGCCACACCACACTCCGACACCCCTCATGAGCAGCTCCGGTCCGCAGCAACAGCTCACGCGTCCACCGTCCTCAAGAACATCGGCTCCTGCGCGCAGCACCAGCTCTGCACGTAAGCATCAGCAGCTTAAGTGTTCGTCGCGCTTATATCCCACACCCGCGTCACATAGGATCAGCAGAAGCCGCGCGTGACGCCAGCCCGAACGCACAGGATCAGTGGCGCCCGTGAACAACAACGGGTCGTTTCACACGACACCAACAGCGCCCGCGCATGGCACGCATCCTCCACACACCGCGCTGAAACCCCTGCGCAGCGCCGGCACCACCGCGCGGCGTCGACGGCTGCTGTGAAACAATGGGTGCTGCATGTGCAACGTCGGACTGCCCACACATCTGCGACAGCTGCCGTGTAACACACCGCGCCGTGCTCCAGCTCTTCCGCGCGGAACACCGGCCCGCCTCACCCAGCAGCAGCCGAGGATCGATGCGGAACACTCTCGGTGTGAAACGGGATCCCACCAAATAGGCTGCGCTGCCGCCGGTGAGCGGCCGCAGCCCGCCGCGCCACAAACAGTAAACAGAATGCCACCGCGCCGCGTTCGCCTCGCGCCGCGGGCGGCGTCGCCGGAGGGCACGCTTCGCTGACCGTCGCCGCTGAACGGCCGTGGTGGATTCGACGCGGAGGTTGTGGGTGGACAGCTGGACTGTGGACGTGTCGAGAAGGCCTCACAGGGGTGGACAGTACAGGTGAAGCGCGGTGCAGGTGCGGATCACCCTCCTGTGAGCTGCATAGACTATGACGCTCAGCTCTTAAACCTGCGCTTGCCTCAGTTATCTTCGGATGTTCAGTTCCGCTCTCGTGTTGGTGTAAATACGCCAACGCTGTCGCCCGAGCTCAATAGATTTCTGGACGAGAGCTCGGCTGTATCAGGCTGCGTTGTCACTTTCAAGCGTGGCACGCAAGCTGACAGCCTTGGGCTCGAGTGGCAGCATGACAGATGGGAGCGCGAGGCCGGAGAATTGATCGAGTTAAAGTTAGAAAGCTTCGCATCCTCTTCAGACCTTACCAATCACAGATTATTCGGCTTCTAGGCTCCTGCTTACGGACTTTGGAAGACTATGGGCTCGGCACATGTGCGGACATCCCTTCTGCGCGGCTCAAACTCAAAATAAAACAATGTTGAACGGCGATGGATTTTTTTGTCGCAAAATATATTCCGCCCGTTTGTGCAGTCTTTCGTCTCGTACGGCTGAAAATAATGACTCAAACTGACCGCTTATTAGGGACGCCTGGGTCATATACTCCAAACATGGCAGGAGGCTCTTGAGAAGCATGTTGTCTTGGTTGTCCTGCTGCGTGAGCGCGTCCGGGGTGTGCATAACCTGGGCGGCGGCTACCACCGTTTTTCCGCCATTTCGCTGGTGGCCTGGTGGTCTGAAAATGAACTCGTTGATGAGAGTCGTGCACGGCAACACGTCAGAAGGCTGCGCATGGGTAGAGAATGGGGAGGAACGCACTCAAAATACCCATAACACCCAGTTCACTAAACTACGGCCAATGACGTCATCGTGTCGTTCGGATCCCTGCATGCGTTACAACGCATAGGGAAGTAGAATAGCGACCATGTTGGAGGCGCATGTAGGCAACCAATCGATAACAATAACGTACTAATCTAAAACAGTCCTATTTGACGTCTAAGAACCGAAGGCGGCCCAATTGAATATTTTTTGAAAGATTTTTGTGCATATGTCGGGAGCATTTTGGCATATAGATAAAACAGCACAAGAAGCCTTATTTCTGAAAAAAATCATGGAATAACCAGCAGAATGGAGAGATAAATGCATTGATGTTTCGGCTACATGCCTTTATCGAAACAAATATCAGCAGAAAATTCAAAACAACAATTCAAAATTTTGAATTTACTACTGATCTCTGTTTCGACGAACGCTTGTGGCCAAAATATAAATTCATCTATCTCTCCATTCTGCTATTGACTCCACGAGCAATAAGGCTATAATAAGTTTTATTTTCTGAAAAATGCTGAAGTCGCAATGAGCAAATATCTTCGCAGGCTGGTCTTCGCGCTGCGCACTTAAGGCGCCATGTTACGCATATCACGTGACACGCACGGCAGGAAACGGATGCACTCACGGCAGTGCACAGAGATACAGTATTTGATGTCGCAGATGGACCCGCCTTGCAGAGCTTTCAAGAGACCGCTTGGTGGGAATGGCTGACGCGTCCCGCTCCAGACCTGCGCGAGGGAAACATGGCACGTTAGGCCGCATGTGTTCATCACATTTCGTCAGTCTCTTAACGGCCAGTGTCCAGGAGACCTCGTAACTCACCACATCGGCTGCGGTGAGAACACGTTATCACAGCATCACGGTATCACGTGGCAGTAACGCCGGTGGTCGCACCAGCACGGCGGCCGGTGGCGTTGCCGTCGGAGGCCAGTGAGCACCTGGATAGACTGGCGGTGGCCGGGGAACGCTTCACTTGACCCGGGCCGGCGTTGCCCGCCCTAGCTGTTGTCAGCTTCATGTCAATGAATGTGGCATCCAGGACTAAGTCATATTTCAAAATGGCGGACGAGAAAAACACGTCAGTAGAAGACATCGACAAGGGACTGTAGAAGGCTAGATGATTTTCCGCGGCATAGACCGAAAGTTCGTCGACACAATGCTGCCATAAAATGAAGAATTACTCAGTGTTTTACTATATGTCACGAAATGCCATATTTAGTCTTCATTTCCAATGCACACGTGGACATACCAGACCTGGGAGCTCGTATTTCGCAGCAAAGAAGGGAGCTACGGCTGATGCGCGCATATTGGTGCAGGTCCTGCAGAGATGAGAGATAATGGGGATGATATCAACCGCAACACATAGCGCTCACCAGGATGAAGGACCTCACAGTCGGGATGCATGGAACTGACATAGGAACGGGGCGGGCGGGTGGACAGGCCATCGGCTAGTGAACGTTCGCAATTAACCCGCGGTTAAAGCGGGGCAAGAGCCCGCTCTAAAAATGGATAGCAATACCCACTGTAACACTGTTCATCCGCTCTTGTACCACGCCATCGAGCGCTCCTGAACTGAAGATGGAGGATTGGGGAAGCACTCGCAAGTGTCGAATGAAGTGGTGCCTTAGTGATAGCCTCGTTCAATGATTCATGTTTTCGGAGTGAAAATGCGCTGATTTGCGCGTTATTTGTTGGAAATTATATGTGCATTACTCAGCTGTGCTCCATACGGTTGTGGACTGATGACGGCGCCTAAAAACTGCACCTGCGGCTCCCACGAGCTGGGAGGGTGGGCTGCTGAGGCTGCTGACCTGTTGGGTGCGTGCGATTTGTCTTCAAACTACCGGTAATAACCACGCATAATTCGTCATCGCTTCTTGCGTTCGGCATCTAAAAACCGTGGTGTGTGGATCGTCAACCAGGTACCAACGGGCATTGGTAGAAAGGAAACCAAATGCACCTCAGAGCTACAAATTATGTTTCCTCCCTGGAGCAGAATGCAACACTACGTCGACCATGATAATGGAAGACAGAAGAAAAATCCTATTAATTGAGATTAGTTTCGTACTTCCAGCTGAAGGCATTTGAGCATTAGCCTGCGGGTGGTGAAGTAGGTCTCCTACTCTCACTGTCCAAAGGATGTTCTGAGACTGCAGAAGGGGACAAATGAAGTGCCGTGAAATTTGCCACAGCTGATGGCACATTAAGTTGGACATTCAAATGGGGTGTGAAGTAAACTTGCCATTTTGAAGACGATACGGTGCATTACACAGTCCTGCTCTTTCTAAAAGCCAAACTCTTCTAGTTTCTGAGCTACACACCCGCGGAGATGTGCAAACTATTTCAAGGTCATTCACGCCATCCTGCCACCTCAAATCCTGCCTCCTTCTTCAAATGCCATCCTGCCACCTTCTTCGTCCAAGGCCAAAAATAAAATTGCCGTGAAGCTCTTCAGATCTGGTGTCTGTTACCACGATCTCCAATTATTATGGGCGCCAGCTGGCTACCCATTAATTTGAGCAATCTGCGCAAGTTTCAATCACCCTTTGGAGATGATTTTTTGTTACGGAAATAAGACTTGCAATGGAATAAGCTAAGAAAAGTGCGATGACCTAGTGTGTGAATTCGACTCAGCTTATTGAACCTACTGATAAACTTTCAGGAGCATCACGAGAAAGGGCTAAAACACGGCGCATAATATTTGGCTCAGCGAACACATCCAGCATCGTGCTACCATCTCTCAGCGAAGTCTTTAGTAGTCTCTCAGTAGTCTTTTGCACTTAAAATCTTGCCAATCATCACACGTGAGTTTTTTCCATCATATTTGATGCTTGCCTAACATCCTCAATAGTAGAACATGCCGTTTAATGTACACAAAACTAGTCTGCTCTGTCATTGCTCTACCACCCACACAGTGCACGATTACTCGCGAAACAATGAGCCGTGGGAGCTTGATTCCTTTGAAAATGTGTCCAAACGTGATGATTTTTCGTGGCGTTTTTAACGGGATTGGCCGTCCCAGATCATGCTGCCGTGATACTGATATGGCAGTAAACGTTTGCTGCATTGACGGTGGATGTGACAACCTCAGGATTCAAGCTTTGTGGCGACTGGAGCGATGTTGATCACTACAGGCCGTGTGTTGTATGTGTTCAGGCAAACACGTAAACAAAACGTCACTTCTAATTATGTGTATACTTTGAAGTGAAAAGGTTGCTTTAAACAGCAGAACTCCCTGTACAGTTAATTTGTTGATAATGCGTAATGGTTTGATCATGCCATCGTACCTTGCACAACATTGATTGAGAGCCAATGGACGGCCGTTACACCTGGAAATAACGCCCACGAACGACAGATATGAGCGACTCGACATTTTTTATTCTTAACCTGGATCGTTGCATGCCTTATGAATTGGCAGGACTTAAATGACGTTATCATTATGTTATCGATGCCAGGGTAACTTTGAAATGCTCTCTCCGATGTAACTTTGCCCATTTTTGCGGGCGTGCAGGTCATAAATTACAGGGGTTTAGGTCTTAGGGGCAGGATTGTAAACAGCACCGACAGGTGTTTAAGGTGGCTATGTAAC